TTACATTTTAAGAAACTAATTGTGAGGCTGTTCAAAATTTAATATTTCTAATTTTTGATAATGTATATTACTTTCTGATGAACAGACGTTCGGTATATGCAAAGAATTTTAAAAGAATATCACGAATTTTCAAAGTAAATGTGCACATTGCTTAGGAAAATTAGTAAGAAATTAGCAAAAATTTTCAATGAAAATGTCAGTTTGTTTAGCAGTAAAAAAATTATTCTCACAAACTACCCACAAGAAAATATAGATATCCAAAAATTACTTTACAATTCACCTTGAAAAATATCTCATCTAATCTGTGATTTAATATTTTTAATGTTTCTATTTAAAACTTATTTAAAAGTCAGTCGAGAAGCAGCATTTACGTTTACGTTTTTTTATTCCAAAGCGCGACGAACGTAAAATGAAGCAAATAGTAAGTGCAAAACTGAAGAAATTATTCCTCGAGCTGTGTATATAAACAACTAGCAACCTTCGACGTGAATCGTTAGCGCGAGAATCTGAGAAATGAAAACGATCCTGCTAGCTCACTTCGCGAGTTTTCCGCCTCGATGACGTCTCGTTTACGCGAGGAAAATATCTTCTGTCTTGCCGTTCGTGGTTTCGACTGATTTCACTTGCGTTGGACATTAAAATCTAAGAATAAACGCGTTCAGGAATTTTTTTAAAAGCGCGAGTTGCCTTTGAAATTTCTACTTCGATGGAATTTTCGCTGAAATCTCTACTTTGACGAAATTTTCACTGAAATTTCTGTTTTAACGATTCAGGATTTTTTAAAAGCGCGAGTTGCCTTTGAAATTTCAACTTCGATGAAATTTTCACTGAAATTTCTACTTTGACGAAATTTTCACTGAAATTTCTACTTTGACGAAATTTTCACTGAAATTTCTACTTTGACGAAATTTTCACTGAAATTTCTACTTTGACGAAATTTTCACTGAAATTTCTACTTTGACGAAATTTTCACTGAAATTTCTACTTTGACGAAATTTTCATTTTCACTGATATCTCTGTTTCGATAATTCAGGATTTTTTAAAAAAGCGAGTTGTCTTTGAAATTTCTAATTCGAGGAAATTTTCACTGAAATCTCTGTTTCGATAATTCAGGATTTTTTAAAAAAAAAGCGAGTTGTCTTTGAAATTTCTATTTTGATGAAATTTTTATTTTTACTGAAATTTCTGTTTTGATGAAATTTTTATTTTTCCTGAAATTTCTGTCTCGATGATGTTTTCAACATCCTGCTTGTATCGATGTCCTCTCTTACGTAAAGAAGGAAAAACGTTATCGGAGGAGTAATGATGATTCGTCCGTGCAGTTGATACATTATCTCTCCTCACGTAGAGAATTTATTGGAAGTATTTGCGAATTTTATGGAAAAGATAGCATAAGATTACTTACAAAGCAAGAACTATGCAGTGTGTATTTTAGTGAATCATGTTGATAAATCGATTCAAGATCAAAGAAATTATTTAACCGATAACTCAAATTTCCAAGGTATTTGCAATGATTTCTTTTATTCCTTTCACTTCGCAGTAATTCTTTTGCAATACTTGAGAAAATATAGTTTAACATAATATCCAATCTGTTACTAATTCTTTGCATCAAGATCAATAGCAATTTACTCCTTTCGATTTATTTAAGATCACAAAATTTCAATTAACAATTCATCAATTGCCAGACTCCGCCAATAATTCAATTTCGTTATTCATCGATAATATAAAATTTCTTTTATCAAAAAGTAAATAACTCCAATTATAATATATGAATAATAAACACAGTACGGGCATTATTAAGGCATATTACATTAAAATTTGCAATGAATATGCATAGACACATAGTAACAATGTAATACACATACTTTGTATACCACAAACAATATAATATTCATATATTCTTTATTTGAGCATCCTAACTGTACTCTGCTAACTTAACTTAACTCGTTCCTGTCGTCACTATTCCTCTTATCTACTGTTTTCCATCTACACTGCTTGCCAAACAAATTGCAACACCTAAAAATTGAGTCTGCACAAATCTGAAATTTATCTCTTTTATAAATATATCTATCTAATCTATTTATCTATTTTTCATTTTTAACCAAATTTTAATCATTTTTCTCTTCCAATATCCCAAAAAATAAGTGCCATTTCGTTCCTCAAGTGTTGCAATTTTTTTTTTTACCAAGCAGTGTATTTTCAAAATTACATAAATTGCAATATTGAGCGAGAATACAAAATGGAGCGCGTGTGGATAAGGAAACAATGCAACAAGCTTCTGTGAAGCAAGTCCTTTTCATAGCCACGAGGCTGAAAATAAACAAGCAACGATAAATCGTAACCAAACTTATTCTAATTCGTCTTTTGAACCGTTGCAGTGGCAGAGGACCGCCAAAAATCGACGTCGCCTGGAAAATACAATTACCATCTCCGTTGTGACCAAGTGCGTAAGAAGAATGCAATTCTGAGAAAGATTCTTACGTTGAAGGATATATGAAACAAGGAAACGAAAGTTTTGCGGCTAAAGTAGCGATTTCACGGAAACTGTGCGAGCATCAATGAAGAAGGGGTGCACCTGAAGAACGATCGACATGCGACATCGCGAGATGCGTTTCACATCGATTCTGGCAAACCTCGCGGAAAGGTGATTAACAGTTGTCCGTGTTCCCACAAAGGAAGAATTGTGGGAGGAAGATCGAGAGAATGGAGCTGAACGCGTTCCTCACCTGGCTCACGGTGAGTGATCATCTTCCATCGCTAAACTGTCTAATCAGACGTTTAAATAACATTCACGCGTTTGTTGGTAAATGTGATTGTAGCCGTTGATCGTTTTAGGTAAACATGTATCTCGATTTTTGCTGAAAGGTACGAGTGCTTGTGTTTCCGTTATTCGAGTAACTTTGGTAATTTATTTGGATTTTGGCTGAAAGGTTTGAATGCCTACGTTTTCGTTGTTTGAGTAACTTTGGTAATTTATTCGTTCATTTTTCACTTGCCAATTTCACCATATTTATTATTTTGCAATCTTCGACAATTTTACACTGTCGATGTTATATTCCCTTACGATGCAAATTACTTTACTATCCATTACGCGTTATTTTACAAAATTAACTGATTTTAATATTAATTACAGTACAGAGTTTGAGAGTCATTTATATTGCGAACGCGACACGATTTCGTCGCTGAATGTTACGTCATGTCTCTTCAATTCTTAGCGAACGTATATGCGTGCTTATCGAGCAAGATGCCAACGCGAGACATCGTTTTGAATACTTATGGCTGGTTCTCGCGCGTTGCAGCGCGTACGAATCGCATGCCGAAAAACACGCCGCTTCGTTTGTCCTCGTCGCTCGTTCACAGATATGTATGTACGAGAAACTAGTTCCCGTGAACTTTTGGTCTGGTAACTTTTAATCGGCTCTCGGCGGTCTTTGAAAGAGACGTTAAATGTTGAAGTTTCGAAAAATTGGCGAGAAGAGACCGCGGATGCATTGTAATTCTGAAAACAATGTTACGGTGTGATAGAAAAATTTGCGTCGTTTAACAATTTTTTGCATCCGAAATTTATCAAATTTTTAAGTATCCTTGTATTGTGGAAAAATTTTGCATCGTTTAACAATTTTTCGAGTTTGAAATTTATCAAATTTTTAAGTATCCTTGTATTGTGGAAAAATTTTGCATCGTTTAACAATTCTTTGCATTCAAAATTTATCAAATTTTTAAGTATCCTTGTATTGTGGAAAAATTTTGCATCGTTTAACAATTCTTTGCATTCAAAATTTATCAAAGTTTTAAGTATTCTTGTATTGTAGAAAATTTTGCATCGTTTAACAATTTTTCGAGTTTGAAATTTATCAAATTTTCAAGTATTCTCCTACGACAGAAAATTGTGAAACATTCAACAATTTTTTGTGTCCTAAATTTATCAAATAATTAATTTTTTGCGTCCAAAATTCATCAAATGGATAAGCATCCTTATACGACAGTGTTTCAATAACGTAAATATAGAATAGTATTTAAATAAAATGGTTAAAAATTATTCCTTATCAGAAGTGCGCCCAAAATCATGAGAAATTTAGATTTAACAATTAATAAGATAGAATATTTGAGCAGAGTTCGACGACCTCTAAATAACACATCATTTACAAATTTTTGAAAATAATAAGAATATAAAATAACAGAAAAACTGTTTTGCATCGTGTTTAATGAATGTTCAATTTTTTACACACAGAAGTAGAATCGCAGAAAATTATTTAAAGTTACTTGAAATAAGTGATATACGTTAAAATATCATTTTAAGGAATGTCAGTTTCACTTTAAATGGGTGTTTGACATAATACTCGACAATCTGGGGAGAAATCAAATTTTCCCTCGTTCAATCGCTGCGAATCCCTGACATTGACGAGACGTAGACTCTTTGTGTGGCCGGAAGTAGCGGCCGGGACACCGACTTCCGGTCCCCATGTCTTACCGACAGACGTATTACCATCACGCAAGTCTGCATTCTTATTGTCTGCTGTGATCGTCCTTCAAACGGGACTAGTCTCGTGAACATTTTAATTAAAGTATTTATCAATTGATTGATTCGTCTATACTCAGATAGACGAAAGTGAGTGTCGTAATTTAATCAATATAAACGTCTCGTCGCAAGTGTCATGATATAATTAATATCAAAATTTCTCTCGTCAATTTCTATACGTAAAATGAGAAGATTCTATATGTGACTATTTGCATAATTCTTAAACTAAAATGAAGAAGTTAACTTCTTACCAGATTGCCGAATCTTATGTCAAAAATAGGCATTTAAAGTATCTAAAATAGTTTGTCTAATTTTCTATGATAACACAAATACACAAATTATTTACAGTATTCTACACGTAAAATAAAAAGAAGAATTCACGTAATCCTTGAAATATGCAGTAACAAAAAAAAAAATTTCAAACTTACCGAAGAATGTCGCACCGCACTATACCTATTACTCGTAACGCTTCGTACACGCAGCGAAATCTCCGCGTAAGATCGCAAATATTAAAGTCCGCTAAGCAGCTAGTCGCGTGTGGACAAATTTCGTCGTGTTCACTTGTGGTGAAAAAACGTGGGGACACGGGTTTACAATAAGCTCCGTATTTGCGGAGGGTATTGGCGTTTGTCATACAGATATTACGTGGTCGACGAACCTTGGGAATTTCCTGGAAAGAACGTTACGCCGCGAGCCACGGGGAAGAACCGACGCGACGCGCCGAACGTGGTTCCAAACTCATTCCACGTACTTACAGCCCCGCTGATATCGGCGATATGAGCATGGAATTTTTTCTCCCCATCGATGTCACGGAACGGCTATTGACGTTCATCCACGTCACTTTTACACTTGTGTTCGGGATCGAGTGGCTCGCGAGGACTTCTTAACCCTTTCATTACTATTGGCTGCCTGTGGGCCTCTTTGAAAATATTGCTCGCGGTGCGCTGCTGAAACTTTTCGGTGCAATTTCATTTTGAATTGTTTCATTCTTAATGGGAGGAGCACACGCGTGAAAATTTTTTTACTAATTTACGAACTGTTTTTAGACACTTTATCAATTATTTTTCTTTTAATGGAAAATGTAGTGGATATTTTAAGTGCGGTGAGGAATTTCTATTGAAAGATAGTAAAGAGAGGGAATTTTGATGTGATAGTGTTACTCAACTTTAGAAATTAATTTTACCCTTTGAGTACTTCCGCGTTAATTTAATAAAACAAATGTTTGATTTTACCGACGGAGATAAACGCTACTGAGATTCCTTAAAAATACCAATCTTGGAAAACTGTAAATACCGTTACTATAGACCGAGTCTCTAATAACCTAACTTAGATGTTGATGCGACTTAAAGTAAGCAAATGAACAAAATTTATCAACGATACGGTCAAAATAGAAGATTTGCGACTATGCTTAAATATCTACCATCTTCCACGAACATTACATACTAAAATATGCCGCAGCGAAAGGGTTAAGTCTGTTCTAAAATTGTTACTATTTAATGTAAAAAAAAAAAAAAAAATTTCGCGAAAGATACTAACGTAACCGAATAAATATTTCAGGTGTCTACAGTCGATGAAGAAATATAGCGAGGTCGTAAAGTCGGTCAGGTGTCAAAGTTTATACGTTCAAGCGTATCGACAGAAACCTGAGCAGATAAGAAGGTGAAATCTCAGTCAGGATCGAAGTATGCCTTTCGTCCAATCCTAATCGAAAAAAGAAAAATGTCGCCATTCGATTCTGCTTAATGCTATATTTCTTCCACCGACTATCTATACTTCGAGAATTATTTTCGATGTTTGACGATAGCGTAAAGCTTTCGACTTTCGAAAGTGTACAGTATTCGACTCTCGGTTTCGCCGACAAAACCAGACTTTTGCGTATTGGCGCGTTTCATCTTAGCCGCTGCACGGGCACAAATAAAAGAAAAGTTTGACGATGTTCGGGGAGGCGAGCTCGTTCAGGGTTTGTTGTTTGAGACAGGAAAGAATAAACGTCGCGAGATTTAGAGTTTAGACTTTTGTTATTTCAGAACCAGAAATCTTTCTTCCTTGGACTTGTAACAGGTAATTGGGGTAGTTTGAAATGTATCGAAGTTAAAGGAACGAAACAGTGGAAATGTAGAAATTTCATTTTGGATAAGGACATATTAATTATCGTTATCAATTTTTAACGTGGAATTATTTAAAATTCATTGCAATTAGAATAATTTCGATTTTTGTGTTAATTTCTTTATCTTACGTGAACGAGTTTTTTGTAGATCATAGATCATTCTTTCAAAATTGGCATATGTACATATAATTTTTAAAAAAAGTAGTTCAGAAATAATAAACAAAAATTGTAATGTAATTAAATTAATTATCATCGGTACCAAGTTTGAACTGAATCGTAATTAATAACGTACCTTTAGTATACCTGACAGACCGCAATATGTATTTATCATTATTGCATCAAGGAAAACAATTTCAATTAGCATTATCCAGTAAATAATGAATTAACGAGCAATGTTTAACGACACGTACACTGCAGCATGAACGTAAGCCGACTGAATAAATGAAAACGATCTAACATTGATCTATAGACTTTAGCAACGCAATAAAACGCGAACTTTCATAGACAAACTTTTCCTATAGATAAGGATCGAGCAACCTCGTGTAACTGAATCCAAAAAAGGAGTGGCTTCGTATATCGAATGCTACTCTATCGTGTAGCTAATGTCATAACGAAAGTTTCACTGTTGCTTCTTAGGTGGCCTTTACCGAAGTCCGTCACGTACTATGTCTCTAAGGTGCATTGCGGATTTATCGCAGTCGTACGGTTTCGTCATAACTCCACGGTGTCGAGGATAACTCACTTTCGTGAAATTTCATGCAAAATCCTTTCCTCCTTCTCGAATAACGAGCTTGCGCGCTAATTTATGGAAAAGAATTCTTGTCAAATTAGACTGTGATTTTTTCAGTAAAAAGAATTCACTGTCACGTGAACACAAAAATATTTCCAAAATTTACTATCACATGAAAATAAAGATATTTCGAAAATTTATTATCATATGAAAATAGAAATATTTCCAAAATTTAGGTACTCCACGTGAAAATAAAAACGTTTCAAAAATTTTCTATCACGTGAAAATAAAAATGTTTCACAAATTTGCTGTCACATGAGAATAAAAATATTTCAAAAGATTACTCCCACACGAAAATAAAAATACTTCAAAAATTCACTATCACGTGAAAATAAAAATATTTCCCGAAATTTACCAAAAATACCGTTCACCGCTGTTCAAAATGTCAGAAGAAAGGAGCAGAAGTATAACAGAAAAATTGCATGTCCTTCTCCATCCAGATAAGCGAGTATGATTCCATTGTCGTGTGAAACGAATAATTCAATAAATGGCTCACGTTACAGACGCTGGCGATAACATCGATAGCCTTGATCGACACGATAAACGCGAACCCGACGTACTACGTGAAACCCATCGAAGACGAGAACGATTACGCCCGTGTCCTGGAGTTTTCGCTTTTATTTTACGAGGCACAACGATCGGGAAAGCTGCCGGAGAACAATCGAATCCCATGGAGAGGGGATTCGGCGCTCGTAGATCGTGGCCTGAACGGGGAAGATTTGACCGGAGGCTATTATGACGGTACTTGAATCCAGCGTATAGTCGATGGAAGAAATGTAACGAGATCGTAAAATCGAGCAGGCGTCAAAGTTTACACGTTCGAACGTACGGACAAGCGAGTCGACAGAAGCCTGAGATGATAAGGACCCGAGGTCCAGGGCCGTATGAAATGTACAGTCCTTGGAACCGATATAGCGAGATCGTAAAATCAGTCAGGTAATCCGGGAGCCAAAACAGCAATTCGAAGAAGGTAACAAGCTCGAATTGACAGAATTGGTTTTTCCATTACAGCATATTCTAAAAAATTTGTCTGCGCTTTAATCGTTGACTGCACCAGGTTGATTGAGGACCTTGAAGCTATAGTGGTGCAGCTCCATTTTTACCAACTTCGAGTAAATTAGGAAAAAAGTGTTTGTTTTGATTTAACAGTGGAAAGGGGACACTAGTTGAAAAATATATATTTTCACACAATAAGTAGCGATTATCGAGTTGATAAGTTTTTCTTTCTATTTTTGGCGAATTTTTCAAATCTGCAGCTGCCCCTAACTTGCACCAAAGTATACAAAAAACGGGTGCTTTCAAATATTTTTACCAATAGGGGAATTACCATCGAGCAGAAGGCTTAATACCGTGTAACTTAAATGAAAGATTGTAAACAGAAATTATAAATATCGATTTAACAAATGACGTACGGCCCTGAGTGTGGCTACATCAATCGGTCTCGCCTTTTAATGCTTTAATTTACGACCTCGCTATATCGCTTCCATCAACTATACCTTAGCTTCGATTCAGTCCTAATCGAAAATTGAAAAATGTTGCTTTGGACCTTATACGTGTTACCGCATCAATCGGCGCCATTACCGAACGCTTCAATTTACGACCTCGCCGTATTTCTTCCATCGACTATACAATAAGTGATTCGATCGATCGAGCAAAGATTAGCCAAAGACAGGATTACCCGAAACGAGATTTCGTGGACTGTAGATTATTGATGAAATTACTTTTCTTTTTTAAACTTGATTTACCTAAAGTTTTATAAAATTATGTTTACATACTGTTGGATCGTATCGAACGTTGAATTTAAGTGATCAAGAGGAACGTAAGGTAACAGAAAACAGGACTTCCTCTTATAAAAGAAATATAGTATTGCAAAATAGATAAAAATCTTGTTTCGTAAATTTTTGTAAAATTATATTTGTTATTTTAATAACAAAATGAAAATAGTAACAAAGCTGGTAACTAAAAGGGACGTTGAAGAATAGTTTAGAAATGGTAGTCTCGGTAGATTTGAATTTAGCGCGATATTTATTTAAAAATAAATTTTGGTACAATGAACATTTTCAGCCGGCGATTTCGTGAAATTCGGCTTCACGATGGCTTCGACGACCACACTTCTGGCATGGGGTGGCGTCAGCTGGCCAGAAGCTTACAACGCGGCTGGTCAGCTCGATGAGCTCCGCAAAGCTATCAAATGGGCTACAGATTACTTCATTAAGTGCCACGTTAGCGAGTATGTCTTTTACGGTCAAGTCGGTGATTTCTCGCTGGATCATACGTTCTGGGGAAGACCGGAGGAACTGAACACCACTAGACCCGCTTATAAGATCGATCCTGAACATCCTGGTACGATACATGTACATTTTTATACTATTTTTACTAGTTTAAAATTAATTTTAATTAATCAAAATTAATCTAATTCCAAAAGTGTTGCACTCCACTGGCGCTATTCTATAACTCCATCGTAGTTTTATTCGTATCAAAATGAAGCAAATTAACAAAAGAGATAAAAGTAAGCTAAGCCGAAGGTCCCGGGTTCGATTCCCATTCGGTCCCTCAATATTTTTCGTCGGTTCCTACACAATTTATTGCTACAATTTAATTTAAAAGAAAAACAAACGGAAATAGTGATCTAATTGTGTGTCGTTAAAGTAATAGTACTTAGCTCTACGTCTACAAAGGGTTGAAAATAGAAGATTATCAAAGTATCTAATATAAAGTAACTAATATCTTAATTTTTCACCACCGTTTAGGCTCCGATTTAGCAGGCGAAACAGCCTCTGCCCTCGCGGCTTCCAGCATCATTTTCCGCAACCACGATCCCGAATACAGTGCTCTGTGTTTAAAACACGCGAAGGAACTGTACAAATTTGCGAATAAGTATCGCGGTCTTTATCACGAGGCGATCCGCGGAGCAGCTCAGTACTACGAGAGTACTGATTATGGCGACGAGTTAACCTGGGCGGCAGTGTGGTTGTTCAAGGCGACAAACGATACGATGTACCTCGAGGATGCCGAGCATCATTACCAGCATTTCCATCTCAAAGAGAGACCGAACGAATTCTTTTACAACAAGAAGGTCGCTGGCGTTCAGGTAAATTCAGAATTGTCAAGAGACAGAGTGAGTAACGATTGGAAAATGTTCGACGATTGCCGCGCGTTTAAATGTGTATACAGGGTGCCTCTTCTAACTCTGCTGTCCTTGATTATTTTCTTATTTGCAAAGATACAGAAGAAATGTCTCCGAAAGAAGTTATTGCATCTCAGGAGGAAAATTAGAATGTGGATATGAAAGTCGTATCTGTCAGATTTTACTAATTTTTCTTCTTTTTTTTTTAACGAAGTGACGTATTTTCTTTTATTTACCATGAAAAATACTTGAGCTTGGACTGAGCATTTCACGAGCAAATGAGCGAGGTGGAAGTTCACGGAGAAAAAGGCACCGTGTGTATACTTTTCAACGATGCACTTTGTCTAATTAAGATTATGCCTCAAATAAGTAATAAATTCTAAATAACAACTTATGTTACAGCATTTTTGAAACATAAAATCCATCTAAAAATACTTGCGTGAAAATTAAGCTATTTCGTTATTCACTAATATTGCAGCAAATCCACAATTTAATAATCGAATCGAAGCACAAACATAAGAACAATCAAAAATCACTGTAATAACGAATTTTCAATAAAACAAATTAATTCGCGAGATTCTCTTAAAGCAAACTCGAAATAAAGTCCAGAAATTGACGCTTATTAAATTGATTCACTAGTTGAATTATTTCGATTCACACTTTTTCAATATCTGTATTTTTATCAGTTTTACACAGCACTTACGCACACCTAATATTTCCTGAACACTGAAACTGTGCATTTTGTAGGATGTATTACTACAGATAATACCTTTCAATCGTGAGAATTGGCTCGCCACACTGTATGTGACATTTAATAGCGAACGTGTTAAACACAAAAACACTTGTATCTGATTGTCGCGAATTATAGTGGACGTTTTCGTTATTTTAACAGGTTCTGCTGGCTCAGATGACAGGTCAGCCGGAGTACCAGAACGCTGCACGGGCTTTTTGCGATTTCTCTGTGCGCCAGCAAAAACGTACACCAAAGGGTTTGCTCTATATCGACAAGTTCGGCACCCTCTGCCACGCGGCGAATGTCGCGTTCGTTTGTCTGGAAGCGGCCGATTCACCCGGTATCGGAAACCCGCAGGAATATCGCGAATTCGCCGAGCAACAAATTTACTACATGCTGGGAGGCGGCGGTAAGCTTGCCACTGATACTAGGCGTCGCGAAAAAAATTGTACGTGGCGATTCGAGGGAAGAGATCGCGAGTAGAAGTCGTTTGTAACGTACAGTTGAATTTTTTTAAAGATTAAATTCACATTGTTAATTCCAGCGGTTTGTGGAATTGAGAATTTGTGACAAAGCCTTGCTACTAGCTTTACTAGCAATTATTTATAACGACAATTGCCGTTGACAATTCGAGAGAAAGTTGTTATTGTTTTCCAGCCAGACCCAGGTCCATGAGAAAATACTTGACTTTCTCAAAAACTGACAGAAAACAAAGTCAGAAAGTTGCAGACGATGATACCGGTATCGAACATTCACTTTTTTTGCAAAATTGCTAATGGGTCATTTTAGACCCTGTCGGTCTTTCTAGTGTTAAAATAGTCTGACAGAGAACTTATCGAGGTGCGGAAACAGTGGCTACTGATCTACGACGGCGCACCGTTTACAACGAATACGTATATATTTAGTATGTGAGGTAGAAGTATTTGGACCGAGTGACAGTTCCTTTGAAAGAGAATGCATGCAGACCGATACCGTGATCGAAAGTCAACACGTGACAAGAGCTCTATGACCTAGCGTGACTGTGTTTAAGAGGGTACGAGACGTTACAGTGTAATAGACGTTAGATAACTTGAAGATGGAAAATTGGTGAAAAAACCATGCAGGACTTACATGTAATTTTGAGGGACCCAACGGGAATCGAACCCGGGACCTCCGGCTTAGCAAGCCGAGACTTAGCGCACTACGCCAACCACTCCCTCCCTATTCTCCCTTGTCGGTTTCCTATTTTTGGGTATGGAGGCACCGATACTACACTCGGCCACCCTGAACTGGCATTCGCCCTCGAATTGTTCCTCGGTGCAACACAACTCAACTCAAAACACTTTGGGGTACACTCCCCCACACAGTGGCAACTCTCCAGCCCAACTCTGTTTCTCAACTCTTTTTGGGAGACATGCAAAAACCCTCTCATCAGATGATTTCATCTCACAGCGCCTGACTTCGTGCAGCCTAGATGCTCCTCCATCCCTGACGACCCCCCATTTGTAGGACCCAACGGGAATCGAACCCAGGACCTTCGGCTTGCCAAGCCGAGGCTTAGCGCACTACGCCAACTATCCCCTCTCTATTCTCCCTTGTCGGTTTCCTATTTGGGTATGGAGGCCCCGATATATACGCGCAGGAAAATTTTCGAAAAACCTCCAAAACAAAAGAACTCGTCTAGAAGTGAAAGATGAGGAGAGGAGAGAAGATACTGTACTGAGTTAAGACTATTTCCGCACCTATTCTTATACCTCTTTCCCCTACCAACCGCGAACGAATCAGGAACCGCGTTAATTATGATTGGCGCGGCTGACGTTAGTAAACAAGACAATAAACATATGTACGAAAATTACGTTAACCGAGAAGTGGGGAATCCGTCTTATAAAAACCGAGCCTACGAGCCAGGCACTGTTTGTTGACACTCTCTCTCTCTCTCTCTCTCTCACTCATTCTCGTCCTGCAATCATTTACAAACACTGTATTCTCCTATATAGGCAGGAGCTACGTGGTCGGTTGGGGTCGAAATCCTCCGAAGCAGCCTCATCACGCGGCGTCGTCCTGTCCTGACAGACCTGCCGCCTGCGGATGGCCCGAATTCGACAAAGACGCTCCAAACCCGCAGATTCTCTACGGAGCCCTGGTTTCCGGACCCGACGAGGCGGACAAGTTCCAGGACCATCGAGAAGATTACGTGTACACCGAAGTCACGTTGGATTACAATGCCGGATTTACAAGCGCGCTCGCTGGGTTGTTGCAGGTTCGAGTGAAGAGCAGCGCGTAACGTACGACGACAGTTCTCCGAGTTTTTTTATGGACCGAAGAAATTGTTCGAAAATTATTCTACCGCCTGAACTGGAAAGATTCGCGAACAGAACTCTTCCTGTGATTTGTCTTATTTGAGGTTGTACTAAAGGAGATCTTGAGACACAAACTGGAGGATCTATAGATCGTTGAAATTAGAGACGAAAGTGTGATAGGAGATTTGTTTTTCTTGAGATGGTGGTGTTGAGAAGTTTCAGGATCGTAAATTACCCAAAATAACGAGGTCCCAATTTTGGATCCAATTTGAGACCCAAGATACCCAAATAGACCAATATACGGAAAATCTTTGTTTTACGTTCGATGTGATTCATCGAGTGATGAAGATTCGTGACGAATTTGTGAAATCGACTTAATGATTACTGATACAATGGTGAAACTTTGTGTCTCTTGTAGACGTTTGATTTTGTCGAAATGGTGTCTAGTGTGTTTTGAAAATGTATATAAAAAGAGGAGCATTGTTTGAGAACGAAAAAAAGTATTCGTTCGGTAATTGATACGATTGATAGTAGAGTTATACTGTTATCGTTGGAACGAAATGTTTAAACATCGTAATCCATATTTTCCTCGAAAGGCGAAGGAATTATTTGAAACACGTTTCTTGAACAAGTGAACAATTGATTGTTCGAATTTACTCTGTCGCTATGTATACTGTACATAATATCTCCGAACATATACTGACAATTGACGTTTTTATTGTATTTAATAATTTCACACGTTTACCGTGTCATACAATTTTGCTTCGTTATGCAAATTTGCATAATTTCCGAGTTTTTATACGTTTATTTACATTATATACTTTATTTCAGGATATGTAGGTAATCACGATATTTTCTCGATTCTCTAATGGATATACGACGAGCTTACTGAGACGAATACGAGCGTTAATTGCGATTAAGTAGTAGCACAAACGAAGAACAAAGTAAATTGTTCCTGTTACACGCAAGATAATGTATAACGTGTATTGTCTTAAATGTCCGACCCTGCATAATTTATATGCTTTCGAATATGTTAGAGATATGTAATGTCTTACGAATGCTCCTTCCTTATTTCCCAGTATTGTTACAAATAAATTAACAAATATTTTCCGTAACCACAGACCGTTTATTCTTAGTTTAGTCCAGGTTATGATGTCTTAGATAAAAGAACAAAGTTAGAAATGTAAATATATACGTGTGATTTTTTTGAATAAAAAATCTGGAAACTCTAGAGAAACTTAAATGATTGAGTTTCATGTCGGCGTGAAATTTAGTTAGATGCGGCACGAAGTTCGAGTACAAAATAAACGCGCAAATATGAATTTAGTAGATTTCTGTTGATTTTAATAGAATTTAGTAGAATTCGTTAGATTTTAGTAGATTTTCGTAAGTTTCAGAAGAGTTTAATAGAATACAGTAGATTTTAATAGAATTCAGCAGAGCTCAGGAGACTTTAGTAGATTTTAAGATTTAGTAGAATTCAGTAGATTTCCGTAAGTTTTCGAAGGTTTCAATAGATATCAGAATAGAGTAGATTTTAACAAAATTCAGTGGATTTCCGTAAGTTTTCGAAGGTTTCAATAGATACCAGAATACAGTAGATTTTAATGGAATTCAACAGAGCTCAGGAGATTTTAGTAGATTTTGGTAGATTTCAGTAGAGTTCACTATATTTCAGTATGCTTCACGTTCAGTTAGTGTCGAAACACTTTTAAAACGGTGGTGTATCTCTCTGATGAGTACACACCTGACCGATTATTCTGTTACATTTTCTTAGCATATCCAGTTACACGACTGATATCGAAACACCATTACGTCAACTGCTTTGTCTCAGGTGTAGCTACGATCGAACAACGTTCGATATCATGGAAGCGAAGTGTGTCGCATTCGTGTGGTTCGTACTATTTGTTCACTTGCTGTTGACTACAGAGGTTCGCCTTGAAGATTTTAGTGAAAAAGGTAGGGTTAATCTTCTTTCATTTATAATAGCGAGTTTATCAAAGAAAAGTGAATGTTACTGTTTTATTAAAGAAATTACGAAGCGAACACACGATCCTGTAATTTTTCATTTCTTCAAAAATTTGTCCTCGCGAATATTTTCAAAAATTTGCCTTTAAACACTTTTCCGTCTACAAATTTCTGTAAAACTTCTTACACCTTCACTCAGAAATGTAATGTAAATGAAAAATGTAATTCAAATGTTTTTCAAATTTTATACCGCATATTCGTAAAGAGGAATTTAGAAAATTCGTGAGAAAATGTTAAATGCTTAAGAACACTTACCTGTTTAATTGCAGAATTTGTCGATGCCAACCACCACAGAGGATGCACGTATTTAGACTGCGAGAAGGACGACGTTTGCGTGCATCGAAAATTTCGATGCAAGGATGTTCCGTGTCCCAGCATGCTGTACTGCGCGAAATCTCAAACAGGTAAAAGTCTCGAAGAACACGTGTACTTCGTTACACCGTCGTTTGTCGCTGAAATTTCATTATTTCACGAGTCGAAGCACATAGAGAGCATGATTAAGCGTGATCCAATTTTCTATCCAGTCGTTAAAGTTTCATGTGCGTTGCAACCCGCGTTAAATTATTGCCTACGGGACATTTAAATGCACAGTAGACTTCGGATTATTCGACACAAAAGAATCGTATCTTTTTCATCTTTGCAAAATCAATGATACAATTTCCATTCGCAGAGAGGACCTTTCATCCTTTAGACGATCAAGGGAATAAGAAGTTTAGTTTCCGGAAATTCGATGCAGAAGTTAACGAGAATTTTATCCCTTAACTTCGTTTCTTTCGGAATGTAGCGTGGGATTTGGTAAATTAATTAAGGAGTCGACACACTTTAATTACAAAATATAAACATAATTAGACTGCATGTCTCAGGTCAGTTCCCTCTCGAACGATTTCTCTCGAACAGAGTTTCTCAAGGAGAAATACGCATTTTCACCCTTCTCGTTCACACATAGGTACACACGTTCACGGTTCTTCAAAATTAAATTAAACACGCCTGGGACAAAGTAAAAAAATTGTTGATTACGTTTCTCTTCATTTCCCCTTATTATCCAGAAATCTAACGAATTTTAATGTAGAATTTGCGTGTGTTTTTAAGAATCGTTGAGAGGACCTTCTTCTTGTGACACCGTGCATTGCACAAGTGGATACGTGTGCATGTTGAAGGTTCGTCGATGTCATTGGGATGAACGTGAGTGAATTATAATAATCTCTAACTTTAATCTATAAAAATACAGCAAAATATGTTACGTTACATATTTTATTAAGTCACCCTGAAAGTTGCCGCGCATTTCTTTCTCTTAGAGATTCGAATTTTTATATAGGGGGAGTTCCCCTAGCGTCTTAAGCTTTTTCTTAAATAAATCTCTCTACCTGTGCACACGCGACTGAAACGCGTAGAAGACTTATTTTTATTCCCTTTATCCCCTCTAGGAGATACGCAGAATAACGGCTCGGTAGCGTTTCAATTATTGCAGATATAACCAATGTCCGATATTAGGTGCCGTCCGGCGTTAAGGGAACTCCTACGTGAAATTAATGCTCTTGTAATACGTTGAAAAAAAAGTGTATCGAAAATTATGGAAATTATTTTGAATGAAAATGTTTAATTTCAATAGAGTTACATTTTTTTACTACTTAATCAACTCGATATTTAGCAGAATGCGAGCAACAGATAGCAAGATGTGTATCTCGAAAGGAGTACCACGAAGGTCCCGCTTCCTGTGCCGGCTTTAAGTGTCCTCAAGGAAATTACTGCATCCTCAGGGAGTCGTTCTGTGCCAGTCCTCCTTGTAAATTACTAAGGAGCTGCGCGAAGAATAAAGGTCAATCATACCGCCATTAAAACGCAGTTTTCTTAAAGACTGCCGGGGCTTTGCATAATAAGTTCCGACATAAATTCTTTCTCACTCGTCTCTATTTTGTCACCCGTTTTCGCTGTAATTAACGTTGTAAAGATTACTCTAAGGAAATCTCACGCGAGTGGATTAGAAACGCAGAAGTGTTTTCAAATTTGATATTTATTGTCGAAATTAATTATTATTATACTCGTAAAAAGTTCTTTTTCCACAGAAGTGCGTCTTTGGTTTGGAAAATGCCGAAGTCTTGGCTGTTCATCGGAGTACGAGTGCTTCCTGCGAAGACCAGAAAAGAATTGCTCGAATCCACCGTGCAAACACACGCCAGACTGCGTGATAAGGAGAGGTAAATTTCTGAAACGTTTATTAAACGGCTCTACACGCGCTCTGATTGGCCAGCGTTTTTCGTTAATAATCAGTCAATAATTCAAAAATGAAGCTTCAAACAACATTTTGGTAAAGGGAACAGTTGTTCAGAGTCACCCCAGCAACCCCCATTTCCGGGTGTTCGAGGAGTTACGGGACACCCTGTATAGCTATTTGAGAGCTTTAAAATTGTAAAATTGTTGTTTTTAGTGTGAATGTCGCGTCACTGACTCAATCGGAAATTCGAGATATTATCTTGGGTATGGAAATTAGCGCACCATCCGCACAACGTCAACAAATCGCTGAAATAGAAAAGCAAACGAAGGAACAGTCGCAGCTTACAGCAACGACTACAAGAACAGTGTTATATACACTACCGGCCAAATGTTTGGAATCGCTATGCATTGCAAGTTGCACCAAAATTCTCAAAAAATAAGTTAGCATTTATAATAACTTTTTACCGAATTTTTTATCGTTCAAATCAATTGAAATGAGGTAAAGTGCTATTGATCTCCGCAACATCAGTTTCAAATCAATAAAGAATTAGCAGCGGATTCAGTATTAGAGATACCAAATTTTTGGCCGGTAGTGTACGTATAATATTTTTGTCTGTATCGCGTAGAAGAAGAAGCAACGAATGAACACTGTCGAGGATGGATGTGCCCGCGAATGCAAACCTGTTCCGCAGAAGTTGTAGGACCCTGTGCAGCAAACGACTGTAATATTAAAAGAACTTGCCAGGAAGTTCTCGCGGTGGCAACAAATGATTCTTCTTCGTCCTTTTCAAGAAGATCTCTGAAAAACGAAGACGAGGTCTCTCCGGTCGATGTCAAGGTAGATTTTTCTTTTGTATCGCGCGTAACTCTCCTTTGGAAAAACAAGTTACTGTTGCTTACCGAATAAACAAGGTATTTTAAAATATGAAAATGACGAATATTTGTACAGCGATCTCGAAATACGTCGCAAGGGAATGGAAGAGAAGAAACAAAGTGAGTTCTGAGTGTTTGCAAGAGCTTCGTTTTATTTTCTTAGATTAAATTGCAACGCAAAAAATATTTCACAAAGTTACACATAATAAATTCTAATGTTTTTTCGAATTAACTAACGTTTTCTGGTTAAATGCCGAGCACCACGCAGGACTCCTTACTCGTGGCTGAATCACCTACAATCGAAGGCAGAATTGGACGCCATAGAACTGTGGATAAAGAACGCCGAAGGACAAGAAGATTTGAAAGTAATCCTATTAAAAATTCAGAAAAATATTACAAATAGTTACGATATAGGCTTCAGTCTTCCTCTTTAAAAAATTAACATTTCTTAAGTTTTTCTTTTTCATGAAAAAGGGAAGACTGACCGTAGGTTGGAGATTTCTAATTTTTCTGTAAATTTTCAATTTTTTTATACGCTAAATTAAACTTTCGTTCAAGTCAATTTCTTCGTCCCGATAACAAGTAACAAAACCAGATCCCTCGATTATTTGCCATTTATCACCGAACCACAGCTGTACCAGACTTTTCTCGATTTTCGCAAAATCCACAAGCTAACGCGTTCTTCGGCACATTTTCCGAGGAAAGCTCTCTAGCCGGGCGTTATTTCCAGCAATTTCAAGATTGGCTTCGATCTGTCAAGGACATACTCGGTCCCAGTGCGTACAGCGACTGGCTCGAGGCCATTTTGTCGTCGCGCGGTGAGGAATTTCGAAAATGGCTGCGCGCCTCGCGCGACAACCTCGAATCGGAGGGACCAATATTTCCAGGACAGGAACGACCACGTTCACTGACGGGAAATCCATACTATGCCCGCGATACGGCGGTAAGCACCACGGTGGAATTTTGATCGAATGTTCGATGAAACCGGTGAATTGCTTCTCGTTATTCACGTGAAGAAACTTACGTTTGTTGAAACGGATGAACGTAGCACGTTAGTTGAGGCAGGCAAGCAAGCGTGATTTGTGGCGTGTAATTTGTACACGTGGAAGCGGAGATAAATATTCGAGGTAAAACCAAGGTGGAATTATCGAGTGTAAAATGGAGGGTGAAATAGGATTGAAGCTTGAGGAAATTGATTGTAGAACGGCGATTCGTTATCGTGAGAATAATTTGCTTGGGGAAAATTGGAGAAGAATAATTTTAAGAATTCGACCAAGTTTATTGATCGTGTAATGAAAAGCTTGTTCCTTTTTCTGTTATAAGTTGTGTATTACGAGGCGATAGAAAGATGGTGGCTTTTGTGCGAGAATAAATAGGAAGTAGAAGATGGAATTCTGAAGATTAGGAAAATTCGAAGGGTGTTTTGATGAAAATCGATCTTAAAATTGTTTTCGTGAAATCTTGTGGATTAGCTTCTTAATTGCTTCTTTCACCGTTAAATGCATATTAGGACGTTGACGAACTATTTGTCAACGTTTCGTTGAATTAGGATATAAAAAATATATTTGTATATAGTTGTCTATTCAGAATTTCAATTCAGTATTTAGTTTAGAGGA